ATGTGTTATGTAAATCTCTTTTGTGAATGTATATCCTCTGCACAATGCTTTATATTCAAGAGAGAGCAAGTCTTTCTACATATGGAGGATTTGGAGGTCCTACAGAAGTTAGTTGGGGTGGGAATTTCTTAAGTTTTAAATGTCTGAATATTAGGTCAAGAAAGGTGAAGATGTAATCCAAACCTGGTCAGAAGTTTTGAGTTTAGTGTTGCCTTTACTTAACTGAGCTTTCATGTATGTTGTGATAAGTACCTAACTGTAAACAAAAATCAAAATCCGTATTTTTTAGCTTTTTGCACCATTTCTGCTGATTTTTTTTCTCTTTTTATTATTTATTATCTATTATAATAAAAGAAAAGCATTTTTGAAAAATCTACTTAAAATGGTTGTTTGGACCTATTTACTAGAAACTTGATATGCCTTATTTTATATTTATCTTAGTTAATCCAATTATTAATATTGTTAAAAGGGAACAACCCCACTTATTTCGGTTAATATTTATTTCCAACTAAGATTCATTCATCACATTATAATGTCTCACGGACCTAACTGCCTATCATTATATCACCCCGATTTTTTTCCATATAATATAGTTTTTTGCAAGTATTTTGTGTGCATTATTATTCACTTCATTAAATAAGGAAAAAGGAAAAAAAAAATCAATATTATGCATTTACACATTTACACATTTACACATGTTTGACCTGTTATCAATAACCAAAAATAAAAATTCAAAGTAATACCGGTCGTGATAAAATTTGTTGGTATGTTATTCATGTAATTTTTAGATCTATGTTGAAAACTTGCAAAATATGTTCAAGAGCATTATGTACATTTTCAATAAAAACCAAACCCCTATACCATAAACCATATATTATATATTTATTTAAATCTCACCATTTTTATGTATTTTCTTGAATCTATGTATTTGTTCAAATACATATTTTCTAGAGATTTTGATCAGATCAGTCTTGTTAAAAATGAATCAATCCCAAAAATGTACTTTACATGAAAATCAAATAGTTTATTCAGTTTTATATACTATTATAAAATGTAAAAGAAGTTAAATAAAATCTAAAAAATAATATTATATTTTCATTGGTTTTTACCGGGTCAACTGGTGTCAGTTCACGGATTAGTGGCAATTTTTTTTTTGTTTTTATCAGATTTTAATTAATTTTTCATTAAATCCAAACTTTATGGAAATATATCATTTAGTATATACTTTGATAGAATGCTATACATGAAAAAACATAAGCATGTCTGACTTATATACAGTCAACGAGTTTACTGGTTCGACCGCGGATCCAGCTAGGATATGAAACCACTGATAATTTAGTTTTTTTTTTGTTAATTTGGTTTATATATAGTATTTTTTTTTTAGAATATTTGGTTGTTTAAAAAATAATTATAATTAATTTTGTAGAAAAATTATTTTTATTTTAAAATTCTAGATATCCATTCGGTTCTCGGTAAGATTTTAATTTTTTGATTCTATAAATATAGAATCTCCTTGGTTATTCATGAAATCCGGTTCAGCTTTATTTGTTCAGTTTGATACAGTTGGTTTCAGATAGATTTTCTCAAACTTATACACTATCTTATATATAATTTTATACAAAAAATATTTAAATCCGAATATGAATCCACGTTTGCTAAGCGCAGATCAAAATCTAGTTGTTATATTAAAAAGTCTCTTATATTGATCTATACTTACTGTTCTATTTGCTTATTCATAATATTCACCAACTTGTATATTAAAATCCATATAAACTTACTAAAATATAAAAAAATAAGTTACATTTGTTCACAAATTATTTTTGTTCTCTTTTTTTTAGTCAACACACAAATGATTTGTGTTCACTGAGAAAGAAAACATCTACAATTAATTTACATACAATTAGATTTATAAATAAAATTAATTTAATTTAAAATTTTGTATAATTTAAATAATTTTTGCTAGGAACATTTTTTTTCTTCTTAAACATATCAATATAAATAACAGTAAATTAATTGTTTAAAATTAATGTATTGCAGAATTGTACATATGTTTTAATAGTAAATTGGTATTATACGATTATTATTAAAATTTGTTGTATATTCTTTTGTTAATTTATAGTTAAAAAACTTTTAAGTCCATTTTTAAAATAATACATAAATTAAAAAAATCACAAATCAAAATTCAGAAAAACTAAAATCAAAACCAAAAACCATTTTATAAACTTTTAGAATCTTTTTTCTTTCCTATTCTTTAAAATATTTTTACTTAGTATTAACTACGATTATGAATATTTCCCTATTTTTATAAAATTTACTAAGTACAGATTTAAAAAGTTCCCATATGACATTCAAGATATTTTTATATTTTAAGTTTTTATTTTAAAATAATTTTATTAAATAAGTATATGTGTTTTGATAATGGTATTTTCTATTTACTGTAAATAATATTTTTCATTGTATTTTTAAAGTCAAATATAAAAAACAAAAAATTAAAACTACCTTTCATGTTTTTATAAAACTAAAATCTACTGCAAAATCTACTGCAAAATAAAAAAAAAACTAAAAAAAAAATTTATAAATCAAAAATCAAATCCAAAAACCAGAAACTAAAAATTAAAACTCAGAAAAACAATCATCACCTGAGAGTTCAATAATTTCTGTCAATAAGACATTTCAATAAATCTATAAAATCTTTTTTGAAATTTCTATACAAAATAAAATGCGAAAATTGTCATTTAAATCACCAACTTTCAAATTTTCTCGAAATAAAACATCAAATTTTTCGTAAGAAAAAAAACACTCAAATTTTGTTGACAAGCCATTTTAATCACAAAATTTCATCGACCATACAAATTTAGTCATATCATTAAGCAACAATTATAGTTGACTAACGGTAGGCCTAAAATGACTATCAAAGTTGATATTTTTTTTGGCACAAATATAAATCAATATTTTTTTTATAATTTTGGTTATATTTTAAATACTAAAAATATCTTTATAACTAATAAATAAAATTATAAATAAAAAAATTCTAATCAAAAATATAAATAGAACTCAATGTAAAATAATTCGTTAACATAAATTGAGTATCTTCGTTAGAAAATGATAAGAATATTTTAATTATTTACGATTAATTTTCGAAATATTTATATAATCCTATTTTAATTATGTTTACAATTTTATTTTTAAAAGTTTGTTGATGAAATATTAATTCAACTTTTGATTCTTAAATGAAAAGAGTTATCAGTTAATGAATTCTTCATGATTCTTTATATTTAAATAAAGATCTTCAAACAAATCTATATAATTTCTATAAAATTTTTACAAAAGTTTTTCTGCATTTAAAGAAAAATAAGTTTCACCGAAATCGGTAACTTTTTTTGTTATCCGATAACTCTTTTTGTTTAAAAATCAAGAATTGAATTAATATTTTACTAATAAATTTTTGATGGTAAAATTATAAAACATAATCCGAGTAGGATTATATAAATATTTTTTAAAAATTAATTATAAATAATTAAAAAAATTTGCATAATCATTTTTAACTAAATTACTCAATTAAAGATATGGTAATTAGTTATTTACATTGAGTTCTGTTTATATTTTGGTTGGAATTTATTTTTTATTTACAATTTATTTATTAGTGTTATAGTTATTAAAAGTTTCAATATTTAAAATCTAAAATTTTGAAAAAATGTTGTTTTTTATTTGTTAAAAAAAGGCATTAACTTTAAAAGCTATTTTAGGTCTATTGTTAGTCTACAATAATTGTTGACCAATGATATCACTAAATTGGTATAGTCGACAAAAGTTTGTGATTAAAATGGTTTGTAAACAAAAACTGATTGTTTTTTTAATTTATGAGAAAGTTGATACTTTAATTTAACAAAATTTAAAAGTTGGTGATTTAAATGATAATTTTCCCAAATAAAAGTGTAGTATTTCTTGTTTAACTCGGTGACTAGATCAAAAGAAGGGGGAAAAAAACGATTGACATCACGCAGACTCTTTCCAAAAAGACACAGGGAAAATACCAAAAAGTAAACATAGGAATAAAAAACAGTAAGACTATTCTTTCTTCTTTTTTTATTTTTTTATCAAACAGTAACACTAATCTATACAGTGCAAACGCCTATGAAAATTTAGAATTTACCATTCAGTCATACAACTAAAAACTCTAATCTTTGTCTACTTACTAAGTTTTTTTTTGGGAAAATCAATGGGCCTGTGGCTCAGTTATCAAGCCTCGACGACTGATTACTTATCTGTTCAGACAGCAGAAGAACAAGAAAAACAAAAAAAAACTCAGTTTCTTCTTTAACCATCTTCTATGTTCTTTCATGTCTTCCTTGCCAATGCCATATAGATCAGAAGCAAGTCGAGAGAAAGTAGTGAAAAGACTTTCTCACACTCTCTAAAACCGCGTGAGAGAATGAAATGGTCTTTCCTCCTCAGATCTCTCCCTTTGACTTCAGATTAAACCCTGAAATTTTTCAGCATTTTCTCTCTCTTTCCCTTCCGAGTTTCCCCAAGCGTACAAGCTACTTCTCTTCCACAAACTCAAAGTAAACTCATCTGCTTTCAATCGCATTCTCCTTAGCAAAAAATCATCTGAAAAATTCCCAGGTAAATACTACTTTTACTTCATCATCTTTAAGATCTCCTTTCACTATTTTTTTTTACTCTTTTACTGCAATTTCTTTTTCAGTTTTCACCTTTCTCTCTCTCTCTTCGATGTCGGTTCCAATATTAGATTGCTCCGCAAGATTTGGTTAAAAAAGTTAGTTGCTTTAAGCTATAAATCAACATACCTTTTTCGATCTTTTTCATTTTGCACCACTTTCTCCAGCCTCTGTTACTGCCTTACTGGTACTCGAAGCTCCCTCTCCTTCTCTTACAAGCTCAACAACATAGGTTTTGGTTTCTAATTCGTGGTTCTTGATCTCTGACTAGGTCCCAAGTTTAAACAGTTCCATAGATATTCGAAAAGAAAGAGAATGATGGGAGGAAAACAATCCAAGAAGAAGAAAAACATTGAATACGGTTCACCAACAACACCTGTAAAGATCAAGATCAACTCAGCTTACACAGAACACTTGACCTCTTACGAACTAGCTTGCTCCGAAGACCCAAAGCTCGAGTCTTTTGACTCATCTCTTCACCAACGAACTAACCGAGTCATCAACAAGCTCGCAGCATCATCAGGCGTTGAGATAAAATCTCTCTCCTTCGATTCCCTTAGAGAGGTTACACAATGTCTTCTTGATATGAACCAAGACGTGGTCAAAGTTATATTACAGGACAAAGAAGATATATGGAGCAACCAAGACTTGTTCTCTCTTGTGAACATGTATTTCGACAGCACTGCGAAGACTATGGAGTTCTGCTCTGAGCTCCAGAGTTGTCTCAACAGGGCGAGGAGAAGTCAAGTGATTATCCAGTTTGCTGTTAATCACTTTGAGGAAGAGGAGGATGGTAATAGTAAGTATGAGAAGACTCTTGGGGAGCTTAAGAGGTTGACATTAGCTGGTGACCCGTTTTCTAAAGAGTTCTTTGCTCTTTTCGATTCGGTGCGTAACCATCAAGTTATGATGCGTGAGGAGCTTCATAAGCTAAAGAGGAGGCTTGATAAGAAGCTTAAGAACATCAAAACATGGAGAAGAGTTTCCAACATGGTGTTTGTGACTGCGTTTATCTCTGTGCTTATCTTCTCGGTGGTTGCAGCCTCTGTGGCTGCACCGCCTGTAGTGGCGGCTCTAGCCGGTGCGTTGGCTGTTCCTGTGGGGTCTGTTGGGAAGTGGTGTAACTCGCTTTGGACAAAGTATGAGAAAGTTGTTAGAGGGCAGAAGGAGATCATTACATCAATTAGAATCGGGACTTATGTATCGGTTAAGGAGATGGATAATATAAGTGTTCTTGTGCGGAGAGTGGAAGTGGAGATTGGGGCTTTGTTGAGGAATGCTGAGTTTGCTGTTAGTGAGGAGAAGGAGGTGAGGATTGCAATAGATGAGATCAAGGAGAAGCTTGATGTGTTTACTGAAACGGTTGAGGAACTTGGGAAACATGCGAATAAGTATTGTAGTGATGTGACAAAGGCGAGAACTGTGATTCTGCAGAGGATAATTAGATACCCTACTGGTTCAACGACTGAAGAAGCTACTTGGTAAGATACCTTACATGCTTCATGGTCTTTTGAGGAAAGTTGTGAACAAAGTCCTACTTATGGTTTATGATTTTGTTTCATGATCAGAAACGTTTTCGTGAGAAGTCGGATTCGGACTCGTGGATGGCTTTGAAGATTGTTGGTTTGTTTTGTTTAGCACATGTATTATGAACAGCTAATTATAAGATATAAAATAAAAAAACTAGATTTTGACCCGCGCTTGAAAACGCGGAAATTTTTTATAACTAAAATTTTTATAATTGGGTTATGTCTTAATTTAAAGAACTAGATGATAACCCGCGCGCATGCGCGGGATGAAATTTTTATACTAATATTTATTTATTAAATGGTTTTTAACATTTTGCAATACTACAATATTTATCGATTATAAAATGATGAATACAAATGTTGGTATCTTAAATTATCATAGGTCTGGACGTTTGAGACTTCGTCGGTTTTGGTTTGATTGAGACATATTTTCAGATTGAAATTTTTATACTAATATTTATTTATTAAATGGTTTTTAACAGTTTGCAATACTACAGTATTTATCGATTATAAAATGATGAATACAAATGTTGGTATCTTAAATTATCATAGGTCTGGACGTTTGAGACTTCGTCGGTTTTGGTTTGATTGAGACATATTTTCAAATTTTGGTATTATTCTCATAAATCCTATTTGAATTTTACTAATTATCGGATTGGATTCGATTTGATCTTTTCAATTCAATTTGGATTAGATTGTAACCAATATCTGAAATTATCCCAAAAAATATTTTTTAAACATGAAAAGTTGACAAAAAATTCAAAATATTTAAACTATTAATAAATCTAATTTAAAATTAGTTAAACTATCTAAACAAACTAAAAGATATTAAAAAACAAATAAAACAAACTACAAAAATCTTTTGAATACTATAAGTTGTATCTACTAACCTCAAACCTTTTCACTGAAATTTTTAAATTAACATATTTATAATATGAATATCTACTAATGATACTTCATATTCGTACGATTTATGATAATTTGTATCTTGTTTGTAAAAAAAACAAAGTTAAACCATTGATCATAAAATTTTCAATGAGGGATTTTACTATTTTTAGTTATTTATGGTCGTTTTAAAAAATTAAAAATATAACCTATAAAAAAAATTAATTTTTATTATATATTTAATGTGATTTTTTAATTTATTTTAATAATTTAAAATTAAACAAAAAAGAGAGAGGACACAAAAATATGTATTATTCATAATCATTAATTACATATATATGATAATCATATTAGGTAATTTCGTAGCTTTTATTTAAGGAAATAAAATATATTGTTTTATACCTATCAGAGTTGGTCCCTTACAAAATGTTTATATATTATAGTATTAAATGCAAAAAAATTAAATGTTACATTATTTCATTCCTAGCAAAGTTGGTCCATTAAAAAATTAAGGCTGAGAAGCTCTGTGAGCTTGACACGTAAGCATGCTCTCCAAGGTTGTGCATTTATGAATGCTTCAGGATTAATATATAAGGGATGTTATGGTATAAAATCATTTTATCAAAATTTGTGGTGACGATTTTTTCCATTAGTTTTTAGTTTCAGTTTTTTTATTTTTAGATTTTTTTTTTTTAGTCTTTAAGTCTCTATTTTTTGGTTTTTCAGCTTTTGTTTGGATTTTTAATTTTTAGATCCGCTGAGTTAGTTTGAACTGATATTACCAACAAACAAATTTCAAATAATCGAACATCTAATTTAAAACTGAAAAAGATGACAAATTTTTTTTAAAAAAAAATTGCAATAGTTTATTTTGTAAATAAACAAAAGCAAAAACTATAACAATATGTTATCCAGAACAATGCGTTTTGAGCTTTTTGTTTTAGGTTTTAGTTTTTAGAATTGGTTTTTGGTTTTGCTTTACATTTATTTTTTTAAATTAGTAAATTATTTAAGAAAAATAAAACAATAAATTATTTAAAAGTTACCATTGAAATTTATCAAAAAAGTGATTGTTATTTAAAATAAAAAATACAATAACATGTTTTAAAGTACATGATTTAAATAAATGATTAATAATAGACAATTTTATTTTGTTAAAAATATTAAATACATTTCGGCCTGAAAATAATAATTCATTTTTGATCCATTAAGATATAAATTTTATTCAATGTTTTTTGGAGTTTTTCCTTAATAGTAAGCCTAAAAATCAAACCATATAATTTGTTTTAAAAACAAAAGTAAGCCCAAGACTATATCCCATAAATAACCATCGGTTTAATTTAAGTAATGCGGTTCAATTAACTATATGGCTTGTTGTAACACTTTAGAAAGAGTCCAAATTTAAATGATAGTTTGTATTAGTAGATAAAAAGAAAGACTCTATTATAATAGAATGGATTTCTATTGGTTTCATATAATTATTAAATTTCTATTTTTTTAAGGAATTGTTAAGATGCTAAATGGTATATTACGATTTCTACATTAATATAATTAGTAGATTTCCATATTCCATATTTTGATAATATATATTTTTTAAAACATTCCATATTTGTAGAAGAAAATATGTGTTTTTGGTAGACACATAGATATCTGACGTATTTTGAAGATAGTTTACATTAAGGTCATCATGTTACATTAATTGTGTTGGTTTAATTTAAGTAATGCGGTTCAATCAATTATAAGACTTATATTATTTGTAACACTCTAGAAAGAGTCCAAATTTAAATGACAACTTATATCAGTAGATAAAAAGAATGTCTCCGTTTAGATTAGATGGATAATTTACTTAATGTTATTAGTTGCCATGATGTAACTTTTGCTTAATGCATTTCTTGGAAGATTTTGTGCTATTGATTTTGGATTTATATATCATTTAATCTTGTATGTATCCCTTATATATTAAAAGAGAATCATTTAAAAAGTTGTAACCTTAAGTTTGTAATAGTTAAAAGAACCCCCAATCCTATGTGTCATAGCTCTTTCTCTTCTATTTCAATTTAGAAAGATTATAGAGCATGTAATAACATGTATAGTTTAAAAATTATACTCTCTAACAATATAATATTCCATATGCTATAGCTGGTCACATATATCAAATATTTTTTGTTTCGTATGCTTTTCTTAAATAAAACCTACGGAATTACCAATGTGATTAAAATATATATATGACAATTAATGATTTTGAAAAATAAAAATTTGATAACAATCTGTATACTTTTTCTCATTTTGTTTATTTCTTTATTATTAAAATTATTAAAATAAATTACACAATTACATTAATCATATAATAAAAATATAGATTTTTTTGTGTATGTTGTATTTCGAATTTTTCAAAATGAATATAAATTACTAAAACTGTTAAAAGTCTCACATAAACTTTTAGGATTAAGGTTTTAATTTTTTCTATATAAAAATATAATGATTATTAGACCATATGAAGAAATAATTTTAGTTTATATATATTTCATATCGTTTAAATTAAACTATACATCTTATGAAAATACATACTTATATTTTGATATTTGAATTGAACATATATTGAAAAGTTAATATTTTAATTTTGAAATATGTCATTATTTTTTAAAATGATTATAAATTATTGAAACTACTAAACATCCCACATTAAAAAAAATTCGTTGGTGTACAGTTTTGATACATAAATATGCAAATAATCATAATATCTTATGAGTAGAAACCTCATTTAATAAATATCCATATTTAAAACGTGCTATATTACTATGTTTATATCATTTAAATTTAATTATATATCATATACAATATATAAGATTGATTATTTTGATTTATTTACCCTAATTGTGAATAAACAAGAGTTTAATTTAAATGCATACGCCAATTTATTACATAATAGTAACTGATTTCTTAGTTATTTAATATATATATTTATTTATTTATTATTTAATAATATGCAGAAAAATATAAAATAAATAATAAATATAAAATATTTATTGTGCATAAAGTGCAGATCTTAACCTAAGTATGTATCTCTTTAATTATTTTAAATCTTAAGTATTTTCTAAATCCCATGTCAAAATAAACAAACGAAATGAGAATAAACATACAAATAAATATTTTTATCGAGTAATAACCAAAATAAAAAAATAAAGTGAACGTAAAGATAAATAAGATTGACATGTGAACGTAAACTTCTCATAACCATAATTAATTTTAAATTTTTAAAATTTTAAATCATGATATAAAACTGAGTTAATTTTTAAATTTTTAAAATTTTAAATCATTATGGTTATGTTAAATCATGACCATAATTAATTTTAAATTGTTTATTTGTATTTGGAAACCTTAAAATATTAACTTAATTTTTTTTATAAAATTTTTTAAAAAAAAAATAATTTATAAAAAGTATAATTTTCTAATATTATTAGACAAATAAATAAATTATATTAAATTAATTTTGAAACTTTATGTATTTTAAATGCAAATATTTTACCAACTAATTCTTAAGAAAGTATTAGGAAATTTGTTAATACTCTACCTATCAAGCCCAGTGACAGTCCATTCATTTTTATCACTTGAACACTGAAAAGTGAAAAGATATATGAAATCGGGTCCACTAAATTCTAAATTTTGATCTACATTTCTAAGTTGATCAAAAAAAAAAAAAAAAGATCTACATTTCTAATTAAAATTGTTTCTGATCTTACGTATAGATAATTATATAAAGATTCCAAAATTCTAAAATTTCAAATACATATAAAATAATTATATGTAAATTTTAAATTTGTCAACACTAAAATTTTATATTTTAATTATATACATTCACCCTGCGCAAGACGCATGTCTTATCCCAGTGTTAAGTAAAGCAATCTGCAAGTACACGTACCGTCTATAACATATCATTCTTACATACCACACGTTATTAGATTATCGGATATCACACATCCGGTCACTGTAAAATAGATGAAACTATATAGAATCCTCTATATATTAAAAGAGAATTATTTAAAAAATTGTAACCTTAAGTTGATAATAATTAAAAATAACCCTAACCCTATGTGGCATAGCTCTTTGTCTTCTATTTCAATTTAGAAGGATTCTAAAGCATGTAATATAATATATAGTCCTAAAATTATATTCTCTAGCAATATAATATTTCATAGGCTATAGTTGGTCGCATATATCAAATATTTATTGTTTCGCATGCTTTCCTTAAATAAAACCTACAGAATTACCTAATGTGATTAATATATATATATATATAT